CCATGGGTTCCCATTACCACAATTGGCACATCACTGTCAGGCTTCAGCATCACAGCAACCACGAGTTACCTCTGTACAGCAACGCACAGACCAGTGCTATACCACCTAGAAGAAAGTTTGACAGGAAGACAATTTGAACCTGGCCGAGGGCCACCGATGAAAATCACCCACCTTCGGCTTGGTAGCACAGCTTCTTTTCCACTAGGCCAACGTAGCTCTCTCTTGGTCGTTGTCATTGTTATTGTTGTTTAATGCCGTCGAGTCGTAGACGACTCATAGCCACCCTGTGAACGAACAGCCTGAGCACTGTTCGTACATAGAGTTTCCAGAGGCAAGCCAATTTTGGAAGTGGATGCTGCTCCCGCTTCCAGGCTTGATTTAGTTGGGAAGCTCCAGCCAACACTGTCCGCCATGGGTGCCCATTATCACGATTGGCACATCACTGTCATAGGCTTCAGCATTACAGCAACCACGAGTTACCTCTGTACAGCAATGCACAGACCAGTGCTATACCACCTAGACGAATGGTTGACAGGAAGACAGTTTGAACCTGGGCTGAGAGTCGCAGGCCCAAGGGCCTTTTGGGCTTAAGGCCGCCTCCAGGTTCAAACCCTAGGCCCAGGCTGGCTAGCCTCACTCCAGGGACAGAGCAAACCTGCACGTCAAACACATTCCCGGAAAAGCAGTCGACTCCAAAAGCTTGCCACGATTCCTGCACTTCCACCACCACGCTCCTGCCTTCTGGCCAGAAAAGCTTCTCAAGAGCCTGGGAGGAGCCAGCCAAACCAGGAACAACATGGCCACTTCTTTCCCAGCTGTCTTGGGCTTAAGGCCGCCTCCTGGTTCAAACCCTAGGCCCAGGCTGGCTAGCCTCACTCCAGGAACAGAGCAAACCTGCACATCAAACACGTTCCCGGAAAAGAGTTGACTCCAAAAGCTTGCCACGATTCCTGCACTCCCACCACCACGCTCCTGCCTTCTGGCCAGGAGAGCTTCTCAAGAGCCTGGGAGGAGTCAGCCAAACCAGAAACAACATGGCCTGTTTCTTGCAGTAGTGTTTTGTATTTGTTACTATAGAAAAATCCCACTGATTTTTGTGTATTGATCTTATATCCTATAACTCTTGACTAAATTAGTCTCCTAACTCTTACAAGTTTTTTGTTGGGCCTTTGGAGATTATTGTGTACCCTGTCTTATCATCTGCATATAGGAACAATTTTACCATCCCTCTGGATGCCTCTTATTTCCTTTTCATGTCATACTGCCCTAGCAAGTACTTCTAGTACAATATTGAATAGGAGTGGTGAGTGGGAATCCTAGTCTAGTCCCTGTTCACAAGGAGAATGCATTTCATCTCTTTCCATTGAGAATGATGTTGGCTTTTAGTTTGTATATATACTTTCACTATGTGGAACAAATTGCCTATTTGTATTTTGCTGAGTGTTTTAATCAGCACAGGGAATTGGATTTTTTCAGAGCCCTTTCTTTCAGCAGTTGATAGGATCATGTGGTTCTTATTCTTTGCATTGTTAATGTGATTAATTACATTAATTGATTGTTGTATGTTGAACCATCCTTGAATACCTGCTATAAATCTCACTTGATCATGATCAGTTTTTTTTTTTAAATACCATGTTGGATTCTCATGGCCAGAATTTTGCGAAGGATTTTTGCTTTTATATTCTTGAGAGATAATGGTTTGTGGTTTTCTTTTTTGACAGTGTCTTTTCCTGGGTTTGGTATTAGGGTTATGCGTGCTTAATAAAATTACTCTGGACATGTTCTTTCTTTTCCTGTATTTTGAAATTTAAGTAAAATTGGTGATAGTTCCAAACATCTCTGATGTTTGGTAGAATTCAGTTCTGAAGACATCAGGGCCAGGACTTTTCTTGGGGCGGGGGAGGAGGGATTCTTTTTGTGACCTGCTCTTTTTGTGATCTGCTTCTTTGGTGATGGTTCTGTCAAGTGTTCTTCCTCTCTGTGATAATCTGGGTAGGGTGTGAGTTTCTACCAATTTGGCCATTTCTTATTGGTTTTCAAATTTATCGGAGTATAACTTTTCATAATACTGTGTTAACATTTATTTATTTTAATCTGGGTCTGTTGTGATACCACCTTTTTCTTTTCTTATTTGAGTTATTTGTGTCTCGTCCTTTTTTTATTGTTTTTAAATGGTTTGTTGGTTTTATTAATGGGTTATTTAGAAGACCTTTTGAAGAACCAGCTCCTAGTCTTGATGGCTTCAGTTGTTTTTTTTATCTAATTGATTTCAGTTCTAGCTCTTATAGTTTGCTTTCTTCTGGAGACGGAGGATTTAGATTGTTGATTCTTTTTTGTTTGATGGAGGTGTGAATTAGGTCACTAATTTTTTTCTTCTTTCTTATGAACTGCTCCCTGAGGACTGCCTTAGCTGTATCCCAGTGTTTTGACACGTTTTCTTTTCATTTTCTCTTGTTTCCAGCAACTTTTTTTATTTCATGTCTTCCATAACCCAATCATACTCTAGCAGGGTGTTATTTAGCTTCCATGAGGGTGATTTTATAAGCTTACTCTTTTGTCATTAATTTCTAGTTTTATTGCATTATGGTCTGAAAAGATACTTTATATTATTTCACTGTGGTTTTTTTTAAATTTCTTGAGTCTTGCTTTGTGTCCTAATATATGATTAATTCTGGAGAATGTGCCATGTGCACTTGAAAGTAAATTGAGTTTTTGTTAGTTGCTGTACCATGACTACATCCACAGTGAGTCAGTTCTGACTTGATCGTACATAGCAGCCAACAACAGTGCCTTTCACGAAACTTTTATTTTCATTCATTCTACTGATCTCTTAAACTGACCTGTGAAGTATCTCTGGAAGAAGTTATCTCTATTTTTCCTGTGAAGAAATAGTAACTGCTAAGAGCATAGATTAAAGTAGGTGGTTCTGAATAACCATCTTTCTAGTCTGACATGTCTGTCTTTCAGCTACACTGATCATATGAATAGCGTAAGTATGCATCTAAAATGATCCATGATGAACAAAGTTATAGTAGTTGCATCTTATAATTTCTCCAGAATTATTAAAATATTTTTTCCTTCATATTATAGCTTGAAATTCAGAACCATCCTTTCTTTGAATCGCTCAGCTGGACTGATCTTGTACAAAAGAAGATTCCACCACCATTTAATCCTAATGTGGTATGTATATAATTCATATTTTTTTTCTTAAATAACATACCATGAAATTTTATTTTGTTGTCATTATAGCAATAGATCTCAGAATCTAACCTCAATGAAATGAAGTTAATATTTAAACTATTTGTGAAATATGTCACACAGAGTGGTATTCATCTTTTCATAGTTGGCCATTAATAATAGGTTGATAAAAATATCTTACAACACAGAAACTGTAGAGTGTTTTTATGGAATTTGTTTACAAAAAGTATGGGCTTACTAAAAAAGACAATTCATTGCCATTGAGTCAGACTGACTCATAGATGACCTTCCATCTAGTTTTTAGAGGCAATATGCAGGAGGAATTGCCCGGCTTTCTCCCACTGGGATTTGGACCTCCTGTCTTTGAATTGACATTATAACTAACTCCTTATCAACTGGGCCTCTAGAGAGGTAATAATAATTTTTAAAAGGTAAAAATTAAAAGAATTATGAGGTTTCCTTTTTATACCTACTTGATCAACTATAATTTTATGTAACATCAGTACATATCTTTTCCCAGATTATAAAGCCAACTAGATGCAAACATTATTAATGATATTGTAAGTTATTGCATCTATTTTTAAAAACAGTAAGATTGCTTACCTTAAGCTTGGTTGTTAGTTTTACCTGTTAAAACTGGAAATAGATGTATATTTTATAGTATTAATAATGTTGAGAATTTTTGAAAAATGTGTAGAAGAGGTAAATTAATATGAATAGTCATCAGTGGACTCCTCACAGTATTAGTAATAGTTATCAGTTGACAACTTGTTGTTGTTGCTATGTGCCATCAAGTTGCTTGCGACTCATAGCGACGCTATGTACAACAGCCCTAAACTCTGCCCTGTCCTGTGCCAATCTCATTGTCTCCGACACACTAATCCCGATTACCCCAGTAACCAAATCAATCCATCTCCTAAAGGGCCTTCTCCTCCTGCACCTGCCCTCCACCCTCTCAAGCATGATGTCCTTCTCCAAAGACTGGTCTCTCCTTACAGAATGACCAAAGTATGTCAGACGAAGCCTCAGAATCCTTGCCTCCAAGGAGCAGCCTGGTTTAACCCTCTCCTGGATGGATCTGTTTTCTTAGCAGTCCATGGTACCCTCAATACTCTTCTCCAACACCAAAGCTCAAAGACATCAATTCTCCCTCTATCCTCCCTAGTCATTCATTGTCCAACTCTCTGATGCATATTCCACAATAAGGGATATATTTTCACTTTTTCTTTAAAATGCTTATCTTTTGGATAATTCTCTAAATCCAATTGACAACTTAATAGTGTTAATACTGATACCTTCTTATGTTCCAGACATTATGATATACACGTCTGTGTATGCGTAATATAATTTATTCTTTAATAAGCTATCAAGGTAAAATTACTACTGTTGTTATTACTATGAATGTTTTATAAATGAGGAAATAGAAATTCAAGAGATAGGATCTAGTTGGTTAAAAAGCAGCAGAGCCAGTAATTACATTTATTTCTGACTCAGTATTCTTTCCTTTTTCTGTTTAAGTTGTTGTATGCTGTCAAGTCAGAAATCAACCCTCCAGCATGTTTTCAGAGGCAGTAAATTACACAGAAGGAGAATGCCCATCCTTCTTCTTTGGAGCATGTGATAGATTGGACCACATGTCTTTGGGATTGTAGTGCATGATAAAAAGCACTAAAATGAGCATGACATATTTAAAATATTAAATGCAAACATAGTAATTACAGCTTTCATGATTTATGATTGTTGTTGTTGTTGTTGTTGATTGCCCTTGAATTGAGCACAACTCATAGCGACCCCATGAAGCCTCTCTACAACCATCGACACTTATCAAAGTTCATAGAGTTTCCGGAGGCTTGTTGTTTAGGAAGTGTATACCACTCCTGCTTCCAAACCTGTCATAGTATGTTATTGTTGTTAGATAAAAGACAGTTAATGGTAACCACTAAATGATTTTAAGGCAAAGAGTAACAAAATAGAATTTATAATACTTGTAGGAGAATTTGGCTGTAGAACCAGGCCAAACAGAACTATGTTTGAATCATGACTCTCTCTACTTCTTTTTTTTTAATTTTTATTTTATTATTTTTGTCTGACTGGTACAGGAGGAGATTGTCCCTCCTTCGAACCGTGCGCCTCTGGGATTGTAGTTGCAGCTCCTTACCACTAGGCCACCAGAGCTCCCCTGACTCTCTCTACTTCTTAACTTCTAGATTACCTTGGGCATTTTCTAACCATAGAAGCTGTGATGTGTGTATTTTTAAGATTGACAGTAATACTTATGAGGCATCCTTGTGTGTGAGGGGTCCTTATAACTTTGTGAACACTAATTTTCACTGGATTGGAACATAATGACAGTACGCTTTGTAGGTATATATGTAGGAATCAAAATATTAAATTTCTTTTAAAAAAATATTAAATTTCTTGTTGATAAAGATTGTCAGAAAATATTTTTGAATATGTTAGCTAAGTGAGTTTATTTTACAGTTGTTGTAATCTGCCATCGAGTCACCTACGACTCAGAGCGACCCTATGTACAATAGCCATTAATCCTGCTCTATCCTGTGCCAGTGTCACTGTCTCAAACACACCTACCCCAATTACCCCGCCACTGAATCAGTCCACCTTATAGAGTCTTCCTCTCCTGCACTGTCCCTCTACTCTCCCAAGCATGACGTCCATCTCCAAGGACTGGTCCCTCCTTGAAACATGTCCAAACTATGTCAGATGAAGCTTCAGAATCCTTGCCTCCAAGGAGCAGCCTGGTTTCACCCTCTCTAGGATGAGTCTGTTTGTTTTCTTAG